TCTTTTCAGTGGCGCCAAACAAACAGACAAGAGGCAATGGGCAGAAACTGATGCACAGAAAGTTTCACCTGAACATGAGGAAGGACTCCAGTGTGCAGTGACTGCACACTGGAACAGGCTGCCCAGGGAGGGTGTGGACTCTCCCTCACTGGAGATGTTCAAGAACCATTTGGACACAACCCTGTGCCATGTGCTCTGGGATGACCTTGCTTGAGCATTTTCATGAAATGACCATTTCATGAAATACACAAACCGAATAATAAACAAGGAAGCTTTAAATGTTAATGCTTTATTTACAAGCAAAAGTATAACACTGCAATGAGTATTGATGAAGTATGCTTTAATTTTTTTCCTGAATTTAAAAAAGAAAGGGCAGCCATCTAGATTCTGATGATCACAGCAGTCTCTTGTAAACTTAAAGAAAGCAGTTGGAAATCAATTAGGGCACCTATTTCCAAAGAAATTAAAACCCAACTGATGTTTTTCACCCCTCCAGTTCCACAATGGTTAGTAGTGAACCTTGCCTCAAAATATTTTGCATACTGGATCAAAATACTTTCACTATTTCCTATCATTAAATTGCTTTGAACCAAAAGACTTCCTAGATGTTCATTCTTAACACTAGTAAGTAGATTTTGAACCTAAAACATGCTGAAGTGAAAACAATGCGGGGGGGTGGAGGGGAATTAAATCCTGGCATGTTAATATTCAGGAAGCTTTTGTTTCTCTTTAAATATACAACAGAAACAAAGAAGGATGCTGAATTCTGAAGTGAACCTACTCCAAACTTGCCCCCCTCACAGCAGTGCTGTTGCTGTTATATTGGTGATAAAATCTTCTCCTGTGAAATGCAATTATTAGTTTAAAACCCACTGAGCTGATGAGATCCCCCAATCCAAGAGGAATATATTTCTTAACTACAGCTGTGACCAACTGGCTGATAAACAGAAAAGGACTGCTATTGCCATCTCTGTGATGAGGCTCCAGGGGCAATGCTGTGGTTGTTGGCACCCTTCCTGAGGCTGAGAATCCCATCAAACCAAGCAAAACGCATTGTGACTGGAGACCAGTTTGTTTTTATGGACTGACAGGGTGACTGTAGGCACAAACACATTGACTCCAGCTCTCAAAGACTGTAATTTAACGTTATCTGTGATTACATGGATCTTCCATACACCCCAACAAATTATGTAACAAACCTATCAATACTTACATGGCTCTTAACTACGCTTCAAAATAATCAGTGTAATCTACATAGACTACAAGCACATATGGAAAAAATGAAGCCATTAGAGATTAATCTACACACAGTTCAAGAAGTAATTTAACTACATCAGTTAAATTTAGAAGCTGATTTATTTAATCATTGCACAGGCAACCAAGATTTAAACCTCATCTTCAAGCAGATCCCTGTGCACTAGCTGCATAATTCAGAGGGAAGTTATTATGATGCCAATCACAGAAAAGTTCAGAGAAGAGGCCAATGACTGCATTTATTGCAGAAATGAAAATTTCCCAGTCTCAGACAGTGATAACAAAGAATATTCCTATATGTGATGAGCATGCTAAGGCTCTCACAGTGCAGACACCAGTTTTAATACACAGAAGAAATTCGCTAACATCACACCCATTTTGCCAGGCTGCAATTTAATTCAACTCCATGCAGTCAAGTCCAAAATGTAAATAAGTGCATACTGAAAAGAGTTTAACCCCAGATAGGCAAGAGCTAAGCCAAAATATTCAGCCTCTCCTAACAATAAAATCTGATAGAAACCAAGAAAAGCCTCATCAAAAATGCATGTACCTGAAGATCAAAATCTGTGATCACTTCTCTATCCTGTTTTAAGTTAGTCTCTCCCAAAACCAGTTCCACCTCATTTTGGCTTTACCGTTTGCAATGTAAGAATTCTGCAGTACTTTTGCCTTTCTCATAGGTTTTTTTCTCACCCCTGGGAGACCACTGGGAAAACACTGTCCTGCTACTCCCCCCATCCACCACTACACAATTAGTGATCCGCAGTTTTTGGCTGGTCAAGTAGTCCAAAAACCCTCCACCATTCTCCAGAGAATATTTGTCTCCTGCCCAACCTACTTTTCACACTCAGTCTGCCCCATTCTGAAACGCTTCTTGTTTTCAGGGGACTATTTTAATGGTTTGTTTTAAATCAAACATTTAAGTTACTAAATAATTGTATAATTTAGCAGCCAGATTATACGACTGAAAAGTCAGACAATACAGGCAAAAGTCTTGGCACATAAATTTGGTTTAACCCTGACTGAAAATATCCAAGCTGCTTTCCCAATAAAAGTATTTCTAAAGACTGGAGTATTATCCACACAGCAATCACAAACATAATTTTAACTTTTTTTTTTCAAAAAACGTAACTGAATACACAGTATTTTTATCTGCCAAAATAAGTGTAAAGGTGTATTTCTTAGAATTGCTTGTATGTGATGACAAAAGAATCCTTCTGGTAATCTATTGAATTGACAGCTGGGGCTAGTAAGCATCAGAGGCTGTTTTCAAGCCTTGCATCTGGTATTTCATTCCTCACTGCATGCTCTTTAACTTTCTTTGTGGAAGACACTTTTGTACCATAGTGTTGTAGGTTTATAATGGACGTTTAGAAAAGCCAGTGCATGCTACTCACACACTATGGCATTTTAAGCAATCCGCAACTTTTACAAACATTTAATATAGTGTTTTTATCAACCTGACAACCTTTGGGGGCATTTATGTTAGCAAAACACAGTAGGAAATCCAGAGAAGCAAGACAAGGCACAACTATAATCCAAGAGATAAAATGAGTGACTTAATTTCAAACTCAAATGCCTTACTATACATGCAGGTGAATTAAGCTGTTTAATATTTTTATTATGATTTGCAAGTGAAATTATTTGAATAGAAATTTAAAAAGAAAATATATTACATTTCTGTAGAAATCAACCATTATTTTAAGTACAAGTGTCACGTTTTATTGATCAGGTAGTTTCCAAGTTGTATGTCCAATTCAAACGTTTGTGATACATGAATGATCAATGTTCAAGCAAAAATTAGAATTCATTTACTAGAATTAAGTTTTAATATTTTTTAAAAAACTTAAAGGTTGATGATATTTTCAAGTATGTTCAGCATTGTCTTTATAAACCCATCAGTTACATTAAACTCCAGACTGGTTAAAAATTTGACACTTCAATTAAACTCTACATGAAAGCTAGGCTTAAACTGCACAAAGAAACAGAAAACACTTGATAAAACTGCACTAAAAATAAACAGCAAACAGCTCAAAATAATTTTTTAAGTTTTATTAATATATATAACCTAGGTAAAATATTCCAAAACCAAGGGTCTTATTCCTGTAGTAACTAATTTCTATAGCTCCCCGTAAATAAAAGAGATGATGTTCCCATGCAGCATCAAACGCAACTGAAATGTAACAGTGCTGTAACATTCACTGCTTCATTAAATAATAAGTAATATGCTAATCTAATAATCTAGTAGTGAAGCACATTTTCAATTTTGGATATGTCCATTTGATTTACCCTTTTTTTTTTCTACAGACTACTTACTTTCCCTGACACACTTCCTCCACTTTTTACATTTACAGCAAGAGATCTTTTTTCTGAACAATTTCAGTATGTAACCATTGATTTACCTTTCCATTTAATGGGTAATGCAAGAGGGGTAAAGGGGGAAAGAGTGGGTTTTCTTTCACCCTTCTCCTTCAAAAGCTATTGCTGTATCTCTCCACTGCAGTGTGCACCATATTGCTTCCTTATTCTCTCATTACTCAAAATAGTTTCCTACTTGAAATTGTGAATGCACACATTTTCCAGAATTCTTCTTTTTCCTAACTTAAAGTACAATCTCTTTCAGAACATATATGCTGAAAAGCACCTTGAGTATCATCAAGCATATCCCCAGAAGTCAAAACTGAAACAAGCATAAGTGAATTTCAGCTGAGTGGGAAAGTGTTGCGAAGGATCATAGCCAGGGATATAGACAGAGTCAGCTCTAGGACACAGGAGAACAGTATGCTAAACAACAGTGTCCTAAAGCACTGCTGCATACTTTGCTGTTTCTCAGAGACCTTGAAGCAAGGCTGGCCATGGTTGCTGGCCAAGGCAGCACTGTAGCGTGCAATGCAGGAAGTCTCTCCTACAGGCAGCTAACACTACTTTTAACCTCACCCTTTCAGGTGAGGAAGAACAATAAATCTGCTCTTCAGCTTCTCCCCCTGCTCTCTCCCACTGCAGATACCAATAAGCTGCAGCTCCCTGTAAATACACACATGCACACACTTATCAGAATTACTCATTGTAACAAAATTGTCTGCACTTTGCCCACAGTCTTTCATTAGCACCCCCAGGTGTGTCCCACCTCTTATGTCACACAGTGAGGGAAGTGCTACTCTTCCAGCAACACCAACAGATAATCCTTATCTAAAGGTCCCTGGTGTTGAGCGTGGCAGCTGAGACAGACTGGGGGCAGGGAAATATTTCTCCACACAGCTAGTTTAATATCAATAAATACAAATCTTTTATTATCCATTGCACTTTGATGCCAACAAACATTTAACTTCAGCAGATTTAGTTTAAATCTCTTAGACAATACATCAACAAAATACAGATTATACAGGGTAAAAGTAATTAACAGATGCAAATTTATAAATCCAGTAGCTCATGAACAACCATGAATAAAGTAAATTTATTTTGGTTTCTACACAATAAGATTAGTATTTAAACGCTACCAGTCTCCTGGGTGAACAATGCTTTTGACATTTTTTTCAGGGCCTAATACAGCACATCTTCAATATCACAAAAATATCAACCTCCTTCCAAAGGCTAACTCAAAACCTTCTGGACAAGTTTCTAAAATTCATCACTGGTCTTCAGTTTGAGGGACTTATCACAGTCATCCAAGCTATTTGTAATAGATTTACACAAATGCAAAGTAAGTGACAAGGAACGTTCAGCAAGAGCTCTCATGAACAACTTACCATTTAAAAAGGAGCGTGGAATATCCGTACTGTCTACGCCTCTGAGAAGACAGCTGCTCTCTAACTTCCTGGCACACTCAGGTGGCTTTTTCTGCAAACAAAGAGAAATCTAACTCAGCCTTTCAGAATAATTAAAAATATGCATTAAAAGTTGGGCTCGGTTCAGTGATCAGCTAAAAAAAACTCAGTAAAATATGCATGAGTAGAATCCAGCCAGTTTTAACCATTTTGTGCTAAATATTTCATGATACAGCTTAGCTTTTTTCAAGGTAACAAAATAGCTTGTGTTATTTCATAATCAATTTTTAAATAGAAATATCAGCAGAGAAAGTAACATTTACCCACTTGAAGACTGTGGGGATGGAAAAATGATGTAATAGATTACAGCAGTCTTAAATCCCTCTGAGATTCTTCACAGCAAATTAAATAATACTGAACAGAAACCCACTAAAACAGACTAAAAAAAAAGCAATGAGAATCTCTTGCAAAAATTAAGTAGCGAGATGATTCCATTAAAATATTCCAGTTCCTAGCACCAAGAGAGCACTGTGACTTACAGATTAGCATTTAGTCATACACTAATTTTTTATAAATTAAGGGGTTTTGCATTAATGCCCTTTCTGCAAGAACTATATAAAAATGATCTCTAAAACAGATCACTTGCTTAGAGGATGCTGATACTATTGCCAGAATTTTAAAGAGGTGCTACTATGCATTTTTTTGCCAAAATATTTTAGACAATTAAAATTTACAGGAAGAAAAATACTTCTTTATCTCAAGGACACAATTATAAACCGTGATGTATAAGAAAGACAAAGAGCAAGACACTGTTAAAGTCACCACACGGATTTCTCAAAGGCAAGACAGCAGTGTCCTGCTTGTTCACTGTCACCACCTGCCTTGCTCACATCCCTTCATTCTCCCTCAGAACACCACAACTTTAAGATGCCCAGACCTTGATTCCACTAACCACTGGTGCAGTAACCACCTAGTCCAAAAAAAATACTGGCCTATAGTTAACCTGCTCGCAAAATCTACCAGTTGGCCAAGGTCTTGGTCCTCACTTAAGCGTTTATGTGCTTAGAGACAAATTAAAGACATACATTATAAAGGCTCACCTACATACAATTCATTCATGGTCTCGTTACCAGGACAGGTGTACTATATGGGGAAAGCTATTTGCCTAAGTTAACATAAGATGGACATGGACCTGCTGAAGGGATGCCAGGAGGGCCACAAAGATTATTAGAGGGGCTAAAGCACCTTGTCCTATGAAGACAGGATCCTGGACAGGGAGATCTTACAGCAACTTCCAGTACCAAAAGGAGACCAACAAGAGAGCTAGAGATGGACTTTTCACAAGGACATGTAATGAAAAGACAAGAGGGAATGGCTTTAAACTGAAAGAGGGTATGTTTAGGTTATATATTGGAAAGAAATTCTTCACTGTGAGGATAATGAGACACTGGAATGGGTTGCCCAGAGAAGTTATGGAAGTGTTCAAGGGCAGCCTGACCTAGTGGAAAGTGCTGTGTCCATGGCAATGGCATTGGAACTAAATGTTCTTTACAATTCCTTCCAACCCAGGCCACTCTATGATTCTGTAAGTGACTTCAACCAGCAGTGATGTAAGCATGCCTGTGGCTCAGGAACAGTAAATCTGCTTTAGAGCAAACAGCACTACATTAACAACAGTATGGAACAGACATCATAGAGCACTATAGCACAAGGTGACTGGAACTTTACACAGATCTCAAACCCTCCAGTACTACCAGGGTTTCTGACAATGTATTTACACATTACGTTATCCTCAGCAGCAAAGGCACTTTAGGAAGTTCTCAGTTCCCCACACGAGTGGCACGTTTTCGTCCACATGCTGCAGTTTATTGCCATCATTTACATTTACACACTATCTGCAGTGCTGCACTACATAAACAGGAGCCCTGAATTTGTGATGAAAGAACTCCTCACTCAGATCAACAATATAGAACCTATAAAGTGATGGAAAGAAACAGTGAAAATCAAATCAACTATCTTGACATGTATTTCAGTATAAATCCTTACCTGGCTAAATAAAAACATCAAGACATGGTCAATGTCAAGAAGTTTTAGATCTTTTCTTTGCAATCAGATTTTTTTTTTTAATAGTATATTCAAAAAGGCCTAGGATAAACCAGAGACAAAGTGTTGGACTCTCTTATGTGTTCCACATTTAAGATACATAGCTATGATGAAAACACAAGATACAGGAAGGAAAATATATTTTAGTACACCGTTAACAGTCCAGCAACACCTATCTACTGCCCAACTGTGAAAATACACACATTCCCTTTTGAATGGATTCTTTCTTTCCCATGAAATCCCCAAGAGGGAAAAAAAAAGCCAACAAAAGCATTATAAAAAGATTCTTACTCATTATCAAGAACATCACTGACTCCTCTGCCAAGTGCCCCATTTGACGCATTCACTGACTAAATTACAGAAAGTACTAAACAGTTTCAACAGGATAAGAATTTAGACACACAGAATGTGTAACGCTGACTTCTGATAAGAAATTTATATCCAGCTGAATTTTGTTTAAAGTCAATGTTTTAAAGCTTTCTAAACAAAACTCCTAGAAATGAGGATATTATAGGCAAGCAATTTGAAGAACAAGCTATATGGCACACAGAGGATTACTTCAGAAATCCACAGGAAAAAAAACATAAAGGATTTAATGCAAGACATAACTTTTACACAGATTGAGGATTAAAAGTATCCAAATGGCAGGTCATCATGAAAATGGTGAAAAAGGGATTTTATTTTGAAGTCTGCTTTCTGGGGTAGGGAGAGGGTTTTTTAATATGTTTTCATATATGGAGAACCAAAGCTTACCACTATAGTTTGAATTCAAGTAACAGCATTACCAATACATACACACAAAAAAAGGAAGTGATTTAAAACTTCAGTACTGGTTTGCCTTGTTAAATTTGTGCATGTATTCAATCTTAAAAGCATGAAATTCAATCTTAGAAACTACTGTAACTCTGCAACACACATTTGGAAAACCCAGACAGGTTCTGAAGTCTTCAAAGAGTAGAACCTCACATAAATTAGTGGTTAGATCCCCCTTGATCTTATGTATTTCTAGAGTGGCATGGGGGCTTTTCTGTACAAGAGCCATACAATCAGTTACTTAAAAGTGAGGGGCCTCTCAGTAGTGCATCTAAGCAGCTTTCATAAGATTGATCAAGACAAGTCAAAAGTTTCTTATCTTTAAATCTCTAAACTAGATTGTTCCATATCCCAGTCTTAAATTTGAGCACAGAACAGGAGCAGCATAAAGACATGGCAACTCACGTTTTCCAGGTGGTCTTTAATTAAAGATTCACTCACTGTTGTCTAATCCATGACAACATCCAGAAATGCAAAATTACTTGGGATAAACACTGTACTTGGAGTGCAGAGAGCAGTCTGCCCTTTGACAAGCCCTCAAGGGATACTTTCCCACTCTTCATCTTCTTGAAACCACTCTGACAGTCAGACTTAGTCACCACACCCAGTGTGTCCTTTGCCACCGATTCCTTTCAAGGAACAAACAAGTTCAAGTTCTTTAAATTTTTCTTCAGAGCACAAGCAGATAAAGTAAAAAAATCCAACCTGTGTGGAGTACCTGGCAACTCTTTTATTACATTTCACACACTGGATTATGGTACAAATATTCACTACTTGACTGAGTATAGAAATCCTTCAGTACTGGACAGAGGAAACCCATCTAAACAGCAGGCTTGCAAAATCCTACACATCCTGTGGAATTTATCTGAGGTTAAACACTTGATCTTCAGAGATTTTGCAATCTACAAAAGCCAACCCATCAAGCCTACAAGCCAGCCAGTAACAGCAGTGGTTTGTCAGACATTCTTTGCTGGTAAGATCCATGACCATCCCTACATCTATCACCTCTTTGGCATCTCAACAAGAGGCCTGTCCAGGACTACAACACTCTTCTATCGTCAGCACTGACTCTTTACTGCAAATGAAGCCAAACAAAGATTATACCACAAATCACTAGTACCAACCACAAGAGACAGGAAGTAGCTCTCGTCTTTGATCCAAAAAGAGAGGGTTCTTTCACCACCAGGAAAGACAAAAGGCCAATACCTCTGAAAAGGAACAGATTTCAGATGGGATATCAATATCAAAATGTTTTCAAACACTTGAAAAGGTTTTCTGGCAGCATTCACCATCCCTAAATTCTTCACAGATAACAACCCTAATATCACAGTACAAGTCTTCCGTGTATCAGCCTGCTCCATCTCCAGCACAGCCCTGCACTCTTCTCCAGAAAGTGAGAGTACACATCTTTACAGAATAGCAAGGAGCTCCCTCCTAGCCTGTAGAGATTGTCTCCCTGAAGCCTCACAAAAGGAATGCTGATGGCTTTACCCAAGTGGATCCCCACTCTCATGTAACAACTCTAAAAATGGGTCATCCTCAGCAGACAGCTTCTCTAATTACAGTTGTTACCCACCCAGCATTACATAGCACAGTTTTTCAATTACTAATATTTAAGAATATGTTTCCTGAAATAGAAAGGTCCCTCAAATTGTACTTTCTGAAGCATTCAACCTCACTTCTTGTTGTTACAAGGCACTGCTAAAAAGCACGAACATCTAGACAGATGCTTTGTGTAAGTACTCCAGACAGAAAACCTGTAGGTTCATTAAGGGGATTAGTCCAAGGCTAGGTGATGTGACTTTCAAGCTAAATGCTTCATTAAAGTACCTGAATTAGGTGACAAAATCAATCCAAAAATGCTGTCAGGTCATTAACAGCCAACATTCAAATCAAATAGCAGATTTCACCTTGTGCTGAACAAAATATTTTCTTCACTTTTACATAGAAATATGTAGAAATAGTAGAAGGTCATGCAGGTTGTACTCTACAGTTTCATAATGTTAGAGAGAAGTGGCAGAGTAAGACAAATATGAATCAGCACAGGCCACAGAACCCTGCTGAAAAGCATTAGCCAAAAATACCATATATACACACACATAAACCACAAATGAGACACCTCAAGATTGAGAAATAAAATCTAGTAGGTTTCAGAAT